ACGCCGGGGCGAGCGCTTCGCATCCGGGTGACGCCCGACCCCTCCGACTGCACCGCCACGGTGGAGATCGCCGGGCCCCGAGCCCGCGACTTCTTTTCCGGCGCCGCCGTTGTCCCGACGCTGGGCCTCGGTCAACCTCGCATCACCATCGTCCCGAGGGCCGCCGCCGTCACGTGCGGCGCGGCCGATCCGGTCCGGTCGCCCGTGACCATCACGACCGTTTCCAGAGCCGCGAGTCCGGACAAGAGCGACGGCCGCCCGGGCCCGCTGTCCATCGTCACGGTCAGCACCCGGCCCGCAGCTCCGCCCCAACTCGTGCCGCCATCGCCGCTCGGTCCCCAGAAGCCGGCCGACGCCGCGGCTGGCCCCGTATTCGGCGGCAACGTCGTCACCGCGGAGGACAAGAAGATTCACATCCGCCTGACCGCCGCAGACGAGCGGGACAAAGACGGCGGCCGGCAAGCCTCGGGCGGCAAAATGAGCAGCAGCTTAACCATCACGCCCGTCGCGACCGCCGCCACGTGCAGGTCGGCGACATCCGTGGCGAGAGCCTGGCGACAACTTTGACCGCACCAAGTCCAGGGGGGGGCAAAAGCACTCCCACCTTCAGTTGGAGGACTCCTCCTTCCATCGAAGACGGCGGATGTTGCATTTCAACGGGAGGGAGCTTGCCGGGAGCGTCGCTTTCTTTTGCCCTGCAAATTAGCCGCTCCGTTCTTGAATGCAGATCAACTTGACAACTCCAAATAAAAATCTCCAGCGTCGGGATGGCGGCGGTCGTTCTACTTTTGCCTGCGCTCGTGCACGCCAAGAGCCGGAGCAAAGTTGGCGGGGCGCGTTTTTTTGCGTGGACGTCGGGCCTGGAATCAGAGGGCGGCGTGCGCCTCCCGCGTCCTTTCTGGTCCAACCCTCGCGGGAAGGCGTCGGTACTTCTCGACGCCGAATGTCGATGAGCCGACAAGCGGGGAGACGCGCGCGCGGCGTCTCGTCGGACTCCGCCCGGACATCGCGGTGAACACGTTGCCCCAAAGTGGGACGTTTGGGCTCGTGTGCGTTTCCCACATTCAACAGGAAGTCAAAATGCGGCCACGCGGGTCAAATTGACAAAGCATCCCTTTAATAGGAAGGACCGAGTAGAAAAAGAAAGCTTGGTTATCTGAGGAAGGAGGCCAACCTCTCCGAGAGCTCCGACGTCACCGCCTCCCACGAGTCGGCGTCGGCGTTGAGCAGCGAGCGGAAGGCATCGCACCACAAGCTGCCCGTCCAAGCCCTGCACGCACACGTCACACGGTGAACCCAAGTCAGGTCGCTTGCGTCGCTCACGAGCCTTCCGTTACCCGGGCGTCGCGTGTCGGAAGCCTTCTGCCGTCCAGCCTCTGGCGTCTCGAACGGGTACCATCCTTCTTTTGGTCAGCAGGAGGTGGAGCATCTGGGCCACGCCCACCAGGTCCACCTGAAGAGCCAGAACCAGGCGTCAAGACCGGCCCGCCGCGTGGCCGGGCTCGCCGCCGGCATACCAACGGCGGGGGGGCGTCGGCGCCCAGGAGGCCCGC